TGATCGATTATTTCTCTCTCGCTCAAGCGAAGAAACCTTTCGCTTGAACGAGGAGACCTGTAACAAATGGGTAATCTCAGGTCAATTCTCGCTTAAGCGACGGGTACTTTCGCTTGAGCGAGAAGTGGTTGAAATATGTGGTGACCCAAGTTGCATTATGTGGCTAACTGCGTTTAAACATTTAGCCTGTGGTCAATTCTCGTTCAAGCGATGGGTTACTTCACTCAAGCGAGAAATGATTGAATTATGTGGTAACCCAAGTTGCATTATGTGGCTAACTGCGTTGAAGCTTTAGTTTGTGGTCAACTCTCGCTCAAGCGAGAATTCCATCGCTTGAGCGAGGAAACCTGTAACTAATGGGTAATCTCAGATGTTTTTTCACTTAAGCGATGGGTAATTTCGCTCAAGCGATAGCTAATTGAAATAATTGTTTCATAAAACCTGCAAAGGCTTATCTAATTATTTTCGTATTCAAAAATTTGTCCTTGATAATTTTAAGTTATACACTCCCTGGACTGCAAATTGCAACTTGTCAGCATATCTTCGATTCAACCATGAACAAGATTGAACAACAAAAGGACTAAAGTGAAGGATATTAACAATTCATGCAACAAACTAGTATTCCTATTATGATTTTTTGCCAATATAGTTATCCTTATTGTAAGAACGGATGAGTCCATGAGTTACTACATTGTAGGTAATCCCCACTCTGCAAAGAAGAAGTTTTATTAATTGAAAAACTCCTAAGTTTCATACATTGGGGTATTTCTTAACTAACACAATCTAATGATGCGAAGTAGATGCACGTGCAACATTAGGGCATGTTCTTCTGCTATGACCAGGGGTATGACAATATGAACATTTTTTAATCCTACTTTGATTTTCTATAATATCCATTTCAGTTCTTATACGACTTGATTTTGGTCGGCCCTTTGAAGTTCTTTTCATTTCTGGATCTGCACACAAAGTAGGTCCTATGTATGTTGGTCAATATTCTTCATTTCGCAACAACCCAAATTATGTTTCGTATACCTTTGAAACTTGTTGTAAGGTATACACTTGATGAATATAGTTGTTGAAGTCATGGTGTGCATACTTGCATGCAGCAAGAACATGTGAACAAGGCATGTGAAATTTCTGGAATTTCCCACAGTCACACCACAACTCATCAAGGCGAACTGCAAACTTCCCTGCTGGTCGAACTTTACGCGGGTTTTGTGTTTCTTCTACTACAAATTTTGTGGTAGATCTGTCAAAAGTTATGACCCTATGCGTGTTTGCTTGTGTTTGTGCTTCCTTTAAATTTGTGACCAAAATTTAAGAGTATACATGACCAGCATTGAGTGTGCGTTGGGGTATGAAGAAGAAGAAGTTTTAAATGTAACAAAAATTTCAATACCACATAGACATGAGTTTGAATCATGAACATCGAACATGGTCTCCACGTCGTCATCATCTTTTAACTCAACAACAATGAAGTTGTTGATCCCAACTCCGAGTCTAGTTGGGGCAGCGAAAATGGATGGTTGCTACATTTTCGTGGGGTTCTTTCTCCAATTTCCTGTGGATCAACTTCTTCAACCTTTGTAGAGAAATTCCTATCTTTAAAGGAACAAGTTTTGCAGTCCCAATATTGAAGGTAACTCCCTCCATGGGACATGGGTTCATGAAACCATCATAATGGACAATAGTAGACACTACACCCATTTTAGGAGTGTGGAACAAAAATAAGACTAAAGGTAAGAAGAAGAAATAATGCAAAGAACTTCAGAGATTTAGGAGTATGCAATGTGAGAACTTCAAAGAATGAAAGTGGTCTATTTATAATGAAGTCCAATGGTTTGAATCTAATGCTCCCTCACATGGTTTCTGACGCACACAAAACCCAAGCAAAGTGGGTGGGTCAACATCTCTTTAAATGTGCTTGGATTCTTTTGATTTTGTCTAACCCAATGCATGGAATCCAAGATTGGAATCCTAACTTGGGTGGGTGACTCAGCATTGGATTCCTTACTTGTGTGCATCAGAAAGACATGGGAATCCTGACTTGGGTGGGTGACTTAGCATTGTAAATAGTTGCAGGTTTCCTCACTCAAGCGATGAGTTTCTCGCTTGAGCAAGAATTGACCACAGGCTAAACGTCCAACGCAGTTAGCCACATAATGCAACTTGGGTCACCACATATTTCAATCACTTCTCGTTCAAGCGAAAGTACCCGTCGCTTGAGCGAGAATTGACCCGAGATTACCCATTTGTTATAGATTTCCTTGCTCAAGCGAAGGATTTCTTCGCTTGAGCGAGATAGAAATAATCGATCATAATTTTGTATATTCGATTATTTTAAAATTATGATTGATTAGCTCAAATTATAATCGATTATAAATTTCTTCGCTCAAGCGATGGATGTCTCGCTTGAGCGAGAATTGACCACGGTCCAACGCAGTTACCCAATCAATTCTCGCTTGAGCGAAGTAACCCATCGCTTGAGCAAGAATTGACCACAGGCTAAACGTCAAACGCAGTTAGCCACATAATGCAACTTGGATCACCACATATTTTAATCACTTCTCGCTCAAGCGAAGTACCCGTCACTTGAGCGAGAATTGACCTGAGATTACCCATTTGTTACATGTCTCCTCGGTCAAGCGAAAGGTTTTTCGCTTGAGCAAGAGAGAAATAATCGAGCATAATTTTGTATATTCGATTATTTTAAAATTATGATCGATTAGTTCAAATTATAATCGATTATATATTTCTTCGCTCAAGCGATGGATGTCTCGCTTGAGTGGGAATTGACCATGGTCCAATGCAGTTACCCAATCAATTCTCGCTCGAGTGAAGTAACCCATCACTTGAGCGAGAATTGACCACAGGCTAAACGTCCAACACAGTTAGCCACATAACACAACTTGAGTCACCACATATTTCAATCACTTCTAGCTCAAACGAAAGTATTCGTCGCTTGAGCGAGAATTGACCCGAGATTACCCGTTTGTTACATGTCTCCTCGCTTAAGCGAATGGTTTCTTCGCTTGAGCGAGAGTTGATCTTGTGCGAAATAATCAATCATAATCTAAAATAATCGATTATTTTAATACGTGAATAGTAAAAAGTACTAGTTGTACAAATAATGTTTGAAATGTGCTATTTTGAGAAATATTTTTAAAAATAATATTATTTATGAAAAAAAAGTCTATTTGTGACTTTATTTTCTTAACATCCATCAAATCTTTTTTTAGGCCTCGGAATAAGTTATTACATTTAAAATTTTTGAATAGTTTAAGTAATAAAAAATTTCCATGGTCAGTATTTTTTTTATATATATAAGACATACATAATCTTCAATATTGATATTATCATCGTACATCATATATTTTTACTTCATAAAAAAAAATACAAGTTATAATTAACAATTCGATGGAACATGAAAAATGTTTATTACTCATGTCATCTAAACAAATAATTTCATCCATTATAAGATATGAGTCTAAGGTTGCTTAGATCTTCCTCATTGACATAATATATTAATTTTCTTCATACATCATATTTTCATTCGCATATTACGCTCATGACATCATCTTTTCCTTCATGCACATGTCACATTTATTATATCTAATATTAACAAACAAATACTTAAAAATTGAAATAATTGAATTTTTTTTTTATGTTATCACCATCTTAATAATCATCTTTTATTTTATACCATAAAGTTACATTCTTTCAACACTTTGGTAATACTTTAAATTTTCTTTATATGATATGTAATAATTCAAGAAAACATGTATAATTTTTTACTTGATATCCATCCAATCTAAAATCTTTTTTGTCTCAGATAACGGACGAATAATGTATTATCTCCTAGAAATTAATTAATTTTATAAAACATGTATCTCCTGTATACAAATACTTATTTGAGTGAATTTGTAATACTTATTTGAGTCAATTTTTAAGATTTGATAGATATATTTTTATCCAACCTCCCTAATTATATTTTATAATCAATAGTTGAAATAGATATTAAATTGTTGAAAATCGAAACACAATTAAAATGTTTAACAATTTATCATTCACCAAATATTCTTGTAAATTGTTTTTTCATTAAAACAATTATATAAAATTTCAGACATTATTTTCATTGTACTCGTTGATTTTATTTGATTTCATTCAAGATGGGTCTATATTATATAATATTATACGTTTTATAATGAATATTTTCATTTTGGTTTTTAAGTACGATCCTATCCCATTTAAGAATAAATTTTATTTAATTTATTCATATATTAAAACTATACTTAGATTTTTTTAATTCTATTTGACAGTATTTTAAAAATATTTTATTTAATTTAATCGTATGTTTTTAGATTATTAAGTTTTTCAAAAATTTTACGGTATTTTAAATTAATATTGGATTTAGAGATATTAAGATCGTCAGCCAGATAATAAATTTTAAATTTATAGTATGAATTCAGTAACACATAGTTAATAAGTCAGATAATTTTAAGCATCTTCAACATTAACACAAGATCTTCAAATAAGATATAACTAATTGTTCAGTAAATACTTCAATGGACCAAAACAAATACAAAATATACAGTTTTTTAATTCTTGAAAAATATTAAATACATTATAAAATTGTTTTCGAATTTCATATTGTACCAATTTTCTTAATATTTAAATATATATGTTAATTTTTTTTTCTACTCTTATAAAGTTTTAATATTTTTGTAATTTCATCAAGGGTTAACAAATTTTGGGTTTGGGTAATTTCACATTTCATTAATTCTTGAATATTAATCGAAGTATCTATCTCCTAAAAACATTCTTGAGGTAAAAAAACAAGCTAGTTCTATTTTCACTTTCAATAAATAGATTTTCTTAAAGCCAAATTGAGAAAAATAAATTTGTAATATATATATATATATATATATATATATATATATATATATATATATATATATATGTGTGTGTGTGTAAAATATTTGCAATTATCTTCTATTGCAATGGAGGGAGTGTCGCTCCCTGTGTGTCCTTCTTCATCTTCTTCCTCTGCAACTCCTAAACCCAAAATCTCCATTCCCCAACGGTCTTCTTTTCCTTCGTCACTACCAACCCACTGTTGCTTCCCCCGAAACGCAGCGTTCTCATGTCGTAACTATCTCCGAAGTTCCACCTTCGCACTCGCCCAGCACGAAGCTCCCGTTGTGGGAAAACCCGACAACAACTCTTTACCCGCTCTACCCAAAATCGACAAGACTGGCCGCTTCTGCAGCCCCAGAGCCGCCAGAGAACTCGCACTGTAAACCTGAACCGAACCTCTTCGTTCCATTCCTCTCACAAATTTGTTATTACATTTTCTCTGTACTCTTTTTTTGTGATGAGAATCGTTTGTGCAGCTCCATAATTTATGCCGCGTGTTTGGAGGGGATGGACCCGGTTCGGCTTTTTGAGAAACGGATGAATGCGCGGCGAGGTATCTGTTCAAATTTGGTTATAGGGTCTACTGGGATAATAAGCTTATCTATAGACACTTTTGTGATAAGAAAAGAAAAAATTGAAATAAGAGAATGTTTAATTGTTTTTGTTATTTTTTAATCACAATGTTGCAAATTTATTTTAAATATGTTTCCTGTTTTTCAGAAATTTGTTTAGAAAACGCTCAAAACATTCTTCTTTTGTTTTCTTTGTCGTAGAAATCTTAGAATTTTATGAATAAAGAAATGAAAACACAATTCAAAGGTTCAAGATTACACATGCTTCTTCGTTAACATGATAATTAGTTTATGAATAACTAAAATTTAAGTTTTAATTATAAATAAGTTCATTTTAGCTAATTAATTGACTAATTTGAAGTTATGAAGAGATTTTTTTATTTTTTCTTACTTCATTTTTTCTAGAAGTGCTCAATAGAAAAGTTTATCCAAACATGTCCTATAACGTAGTTTGTTAAGGCTAGTGTTGTGTTTGTTTTGAATTGGATGCATTTGTTTTCTTGTTTAAGAGGTCGGGTATGAATTTGACAAGAAAAAGCTGTTGGAGTATAATCATATGAGTTTTGGAGGGCCTCCTGTTACTGTTGAATCGGATGAAGAGGCAAATGAGCTTTTGCGGCACATTGAAGAAGAGTCTGCCATTGGTAATAATAAAAAAACAAAGATCGATAGTCTCTCTCTTTTTGTGTTTTCTTTTAAAATAAAATAAGCTGGTGAAAATGCTTGAAGTGTGATACAAAGTTCAATGTATATATATTCTTTGATTCTCTTTCACTTGAACGTTTGCAACATTTTAGAAAAGAAAAACAGCCAGATTTGCCACTCCTTCATGATATTGTTGTATATACATATCTTTCATAATTGATAACTTACGAGCTTTGAGAGCCAAGTAATATCTTTTCACATTTTCTATTTGGTGTCTCCTCTGCACACCTATGTGACTTATAGATATGATTGGTCAATTTAATTTGCTGGTTAACTTGCAGTTTAAACAATTATTGGAGATGAAAGTCAACCATTTTTTTATTTTGTGTTTCTCTTGCTACTGGGATTGAAAGCAAGCATATGTAGGAAACTTTGAGGTTTTGTGATGATTTAAGCTTATGAGTTGTAGCATTTGCAAATCAGTGAAACTTAGGAGTACATAATCTAAATTTTTAGTTTAGTAGTCATTAGGCTGGAAACGTATAATAAGTTTTACCTTGGTTGTCACTCCAGCAAGGTTTTTGCGTCCTGGTATTGTAAGTTAGGCTTGAAGTGGTACTTCTTTATGCTAACAGTATGTAAGACAAGAGTTTATCTTGTGAGTATATTGAACAGCCATTTTACAAGTCATATACGAAAGTCTATGGTATGGTATGGTGTTATATCTTAAGCATTTATATTTGGTACAGCTTTCCTTATTGTTACATTCTTTCATATGACAGAAGTCTGTGTGTTGTGGGTGACAATACACGGTCACATATATGCCCAGCGAAATATTTAATGGGCTGTAAAATATTTATTGTATGTGCAGTTTTCTGTTGTTGCTTTCATCTCTAAATTGTAATAAAGTGTTATGTTATGCATGGCAGAAGCAGAAGTCCTTACAGCTCCTCCAAAGCTGGTATATAACAACCTGATTTTGAGGTAAACGTAGACCCTTTACATATAAAGCATACTTTAAATTTAAGCTTGTCATTTCATGCCCCACCCTCCGACCCCTCCAAACACTCACAGCAAAACTGGGTGCTTTTGTGTGTTTGAAGGTTTGTTAGCAATGGTAATAATCTTACACCGTCCCTATTTGCAGATTCACTAGGAAACTATTGGTTGCAGTCAGGGATACATGGGACAATCATGTCCTGGTTATTAACAAGATCGTCCCTGAAAATTGGAAGGTATGATAGTTGATAAATATAGTAGTTTTGTACTCAAATTATTATATCGCCCTTGGAAATTCATGAACAGTGGACATAATTTCTTCATATAATTGAAAGGCTTCTATGTTTTTACTGCTGCCAATCCCGATCAATTATTTTCTATACGAAGTTGAACCTCCCTATGAAAGGGGCAAATAGATAAAGTCAATGGTGAAAGTTATTTGTCCCCAGCTATAGCTATCATCCGTAGGAACAATGCAATAGTTTACAATTTCAAATTGTATATAACGGCAGAATGAGAAAAAAAAAATCTCATACAAAAATAGTTATAGCTAAGTTATAAATTCAGAGAGGCATGGCCTCGCGTCATTCTTTTCTTTTTCATATATCTCTCTTGTCACCAATTATTACACATAATGTATTTGTGTTTAATTTTGTGCTATTTTTGCCATGTTGCTTCCTCCATTTCTGGTTATATCATCTGTTTGTGTGCGGCAAAAAATTGAATCAATGTTTTATTTATATGCACGCCACATGGTATGTATGTATGTACAGTGGCCGAGCCACGAGACCTACAAGGATGGTCTACCCTAAAATTTTATATACAGTTAATATTAATTTGTAATTTATAATTTTTATTTGATTATTTTGAAAGAAAAAAAAATACTTTGTTTTACTTTGGCCCCTAAGTTTTGAGGGCTGGCTCGCCTGTGTATGTGTATGCATCTGTGTAATATGTAATTTGGACTTGTCTTCAGATACATAAAAAATCTGATGTTTTCCCATTACCGATATTATTAGGTATCAATTACCTCTTGTTGATGTAGAATGACAAATCAGAAATTAATAGTTTTTGTGGATCCTAGATTACTATCATTTTCATTTGATCACTTAGTTTATTTCCTCAACAATAATCATCAAATTTCTTCTTTCGATTTTTCGATTCGGATTCTCGATTTTCCTTAGCAATAATCATCGAATTTCTTCTTTCGATTTTCGATTCAGATTCTCGATTTTTTCCCACCAACACTTGTACAACATCTTCGCTGTGCTATTTACTGTGAATTTAGAAAGCCTTGCAATCTACATAACCAGCAATACTACCGTTACTAAGTTTCTTGTATCTCAAATTATCTTTGTCCGCCACTGTCATGTTTAATGTTAGCGTAGATAACACTGAATTTTTATTGGTTTGATAATCTTATATTTATACTGTATCTACTTCTTAAGTTATACATAAATCCAACTTAGCTTCCTTCAATTTGTATCAATTTTATGGTTTGCTTTTTAACTACGTATCTCAGCTTTATTCCTTGCACACATATATTATACTAATCTTTAAAGATCCTTTTGTTTGCTAATGCTCATAGTAGTTTGCATCTTTCTATTGATGCATTTCAGAACGAACCAGCAGGGAAGATTTTAGAGCTTTGTATTCTTCACTTGGCCATGTCTGAAATGTCAGTGCTCGAAACCAGACACCAAATCGTCATTAATGAGGTATATGTTAAGTTTATGTGATGAAAAACATATATCACATCCCAAACTGAGCCATGACTAGTGTATAAATTAAGCTAACCAACTAAACATTACTTAACCTGGCCTACATCTATTATCAAAATAGTTTAAAAAAGTTATATGTTCTACTTTTAAAAATTTTTAACTTAAGATTAACTTCATGCATTATTATGTTATATAACTGATAGTGCCCGTGGCCCATGAGTGCTGCCAGGCCTAGGCCCAAAAAAACCATCAACCACCCTGCATGCATGATGAGATGACTTCATCCATTGATATAATGTTCTGTTAGAAGTTCTTGAGCTGTCACCCAATGAATGAATGAAAAGGGCAAAGAAGTATCATCCAAATTCTCCATTTTTATAAATTATGGAGATGTCTTGGCCTGGGATTCAGGGAAATGATTCCATTATCTCATAGATTAACCACGTCATGTCTTATTATCTTTGCTCAAAAAAAGTTTAACTCACTATTTATAATTGTTTTGAAGGCGGTAGATCTTGCTAAACGGTTCTGTGATGGAGCAGCCCCTCGCATCATCAATGGCTGTCTCCGCACATTTTTCCGAGAACTGGAGCTTGAGGAATCAAATAATCGGGTTTAGGGTTATTGAAAAGGTTGACGTGCATTTCAGGAAAATAAGGTTTCATAACTTGCATATAGAACACGGCACGCAAGGTCTGAAATAGGAACCGTGTTGTCTGAAATTTTTTGTATTATGAGATTGAAATATTGTTATAGTGTATATGTTGTTTTTATTTGTGTTAGCCCGTGAGATATGTAATAAATTTTGGACGAAAATATTATGTTCGTTCCTTATTATTGTAGCAATTTTTGCTTTGCCATTTTATGTTTTAAACCTTAGTATTTGGTTATGTTTGAAATGGTATTCAATCTAGTTATTTCATTTGTTTCCGTTAATGGACGTTAAAACATGTTTGTTAAAGTTTTGTGAAATTTATCTAATATTAAAACTTTTTTGTATGATAAGGTTGCATTTTTGGATCGTTTATAAAAACATAAAGCCCATAATTTGAGTCAAGAATCACTCTCGCAGAAAGATATGGGTGGCGACTATTTAGTCCCTGAATAATACTTGTGGCAGGTTAGTTTTTACAGCACTGGACAAATTAATTTTTTTTTGTCAGTAGTAATGGTGGTAAGAGATAATTCAAAATTGAATTAATTTACAAATACAATTATTTGAAGAAGTGAGAGATAAATGATGGTTTTGTTTGTCTTATGCAAAACTATTACCGATGTTGATAATAAATAGTAAATGCATAAACGATGGACTTAAAAGTCAAAATGTGCAATTTATATTGGATGTATGAATTGTTAAAAGATCACCCTCCTAAACTTAATATATTGGTTAAAAGACATATCTAGTGACATTTTAATAAAGAGAGAATTGATGTTGTTGACAAACTTTGAATGTTAAAATCATCAATCTAACAATCATTATATTATTATTTTGTTATTGTTTTTAGTTGTAGATTAAGAGTTTCGGTATCAAAATATGAGTACCCTTATAAGTACGAGATCATAATGTTAAATATAGATGAAAGACCTCGAAAAAATTCTGACTTTAATGGACTTATATACAAATTATGCAAGTAGAGTGATATTTTTTCTTCATAAGATTTTTAAGTATCTAAATTAACATACATTTACAACTCATATCATTACTCATGAGCGTATTATATTTAATAAGAGGAAAGGAAAATAAAAAGTGGAGGGGTTAATCTAATTTTTGTATCAAAGTAAAAATCTTTTATATATATATATATATATATATATATATATATATAATTTTTATAAAAAGTTAAAAATTTTAGGATCATGTCACATGATTCTATTTTATCATCTCTAATCACAATTTATATTTTTAATTTTTCTTATTAAGAAATAGGTTGTTTTACTTCTTAAACGATGGAATTAATGAGATTTGGTATAATATTTAAGAAATTGATGAGATTTTATGTATATTTTAAGGGAAGAAGATTCAATAATTTTCTTATAAAAATTAATCCTAATATCTTGTTTAGATATCATATAATATTTATTATTCTCAAAGTATACTTTATAAGATTGATGTTTGAAAAAAATAACATAATTTTATAATTTATTCTAGTTTTTCTTCTTCTTTTTTTCTATCTATAGAAAAATATCAAATATTATAAATATTTTTTTTTACTCAAATGATAAAAATCAAAATTTTAAGGAATGTACAAATAATGAGTCTAAAATTACCACTAAAGTAAACAAATATTAATTTAAAAAATAAAAATAAACGTGACTTAAATTAAGTAAAAATATATTTAAAACTTTAAATATTTATCCATTTAATTTTCTGAGAGTTTTATATATTTTTAAATATATAAAAAAAATTCACCCCGTCATTTACAATTCAAACAACAAGGAAAATGTTTTTAAAAAGTTGAGAAAAAAAATGATCGGTTTAGAAACAAAACTATGTTTTTTTTTACTACTTTATTTAATTAACGTATTAAAGGTGGGATGATTTTTTATTTATTAAATTGTATTTTTTTCAGCTTAATATTTGAATATTAATAAAAAGTAAACAAATAAATTTAAAAAATAACTTTTTATATTTATATTTTATTTTAAATTAATTTTAATATATTATTATAATAAAAGAACAATTTAGTCTAATTATTTTAAAAATGTTAGAATTTTGTCTTATATCAAAACCTAATCATTTCTCGAGAAAGAGATATCATAATATAAATTATATATAGAAGACTATTAATACAATATATTAGATATACATATCTAAATACAAGTTAAGTCTTAACTTTACTTTTAATATTTCGAAAGTGTTTTCAAAATGCTTTCTTTAAAAATTGAGAACCTCATAAAATACTCTTATGTTCCCTGAAGATACTTAAATATATGAAACATATAATCATTTTTTAAGTTCAATGATTTGTACTTAAGATCTCATAACATCTTCAAGAATGGATCAATGTTTCTTAACAACTATAACAAAAGAACAATTTATCAATATTAAAATATCTAAAAATCTTATTAGATATTGGCTGAATGAAGGATACCCTTCCCTTCATTATGAAGACGAAAACTAAAAGTCTCAATTAGGTCTCATTATTAGACTCCAACTATCCGTAATATAAACATGTTGTGGTTGACATAATATTAACCATTCTCCATGCACGAAGTGTTGTTTTGACGATTTGTCCTAATTGTAATGTTAGTCTTAGAGATTTAATCATATCACAAAGACTAAAAATTCATATTCAAATTTCTATAGTTGAACAAGTATCTGATGCATTATTTGTTATTCTTCACAACTAAATAATTTACAAATTACAAAACCATACTATCAATTTAGTCTTACCTTCATGTAAAGATGATATCTTATTTATTCTTGTTAACAATCAAGATGAAACACCTTTTATTATATAGATCATAAAAAAAATCACCCAACAAGAACTACATAAGCTAATACCCATGTAGTATTACCAATTATGAGAAATTACACATAAACCAAAAACTCATTTAGTTCAATGAAGTCACTTTCAGAAGATTTGTAAATGGTTTAGTCAAAATTATTTTCAAATATTCTAAAGAATTTTCTTGTTCATATTTGAATCTATGATAATGTTACTTGTTGTCAAACAAAGAAAGATTCTAAGTGCAAGTATCTATCCTACTAGAAAACTCATATTCACCGATAAGGTAAATGAATATTTCATATGGTATATAATCCTTGAAACGTGTGATCTAATTGAAAATGCTATAAACATTATGAAGATTCAAGTGATAAGGAAAATGATGAAGAAGAAAAAGACCAATGTAGATCTTGCAAACCACCTTACTCTCCCATAGGAGATTTGAACCTAGAAAATGTCCATAGATTAGACTTTATCATTAAGAATCTATATCCACTTTAGATAGGTCTGGAACTTCTTAAAGAAAAAAGACTTCTTTCACTTAAGTAGACTAAATGCAAACTTAATATATCATCTCGTGTTACTACATTTATTCCATATATGAAGATCAAATCAACATCATATGTTGAAAAATTTCTTCCACTTGAATGGATAATGATCCAATTTTCAAGATAATAACTAAGCCTCATATAATTTGTTAGGAAATAGGACCTGATAGGAAAATAAAATAAATGAACGAAGCAAAACAAATATCAAATTGAAAAACAGAAAATATCAAGGCCAAATTTTAATGCTGAAAAGATAAACAAAATTTTATTACAACTTTTAAGATTATGAAGAAAAGTTTCAATACAATTCTTGTAACTCCAAAAAGTATTATAAATAACTTTTAACGAAACTTTCTTGATTATGAAAAAAATTAGAAAAAATACTATCTTTTTTTAGAATCATCTCATTGTTGGAAAATTAATAATAATAATAATAATAATCCTAATTTTGATTCTAACGATCAAACATAAACATAATCTCATACTGATAAACATGTTGTAAACTGAATGCGAAAGCGTACCTGAATTAGCCATAACGATGATGTCTTTGTAGAACACTATATTGATCTTATGGTCTTCCACCTGAAGAGCACCTGTATTTCCCTCTTGATTTTCTCTCTTGATGGGGATAGAAAGAAAGGAACGGGACTGATACTTACGTTCTGTGTGTGTGCTCTCAGAAGGGGACCATGACCCTTTAGATAACCAGAATTAGGTTAATTACTTAAGTTTTAGTATTTCCAATTTGGCCCCTCATCAAATTAGAAATTGCTCTATGGTCTCTACATAATTTTATTTTCATGACATATGCTTTTAGCCAAAACTTTAATTTAGTCAGATCACTTTATTATTTGGCTTAATAAATAATGACCCTAACACATTTAAATATGTATCATATATATACATGACCCAAAATTTGCCAACAATCTCCCACTGGTCACAAATATATATGTCTTTACAACCTTACAAATGTGTTAGACTTTATGAGCTCAAAATTGTCATTATATTCCTTTAGCATATTCCAAAAGTCCTATCCATTAATCATATCAGGATATAGAACCAAATCAGCTTTTCATTGCATCATCGCAACTAAAACCAACAAGATTACTCATCCTAACATAACCAAATGACATGGATTCATCATGAAATGTGTAGCATGAAAAATTACGTGAAGGTGATCTGTACACGTCTATTTTCAACTGGTCCAAACTTTAACTTATCGAGATCGATACAATAACCTTAATGTACAAAGTGTAATGAATGAACAAGAAAATCGCATATCTATAGATAACCAAATATGTCCAAAAAACAATGTATACATATATAAAATTAAACATAGAACATAAAATATATGAAAATGACTAACTCCCACTAAACCACAAATTCCTCAAACTGTAAAACACCCATGTGAGCAACATGCTCATGAAAGACCTTGGGCGGAAGTCCTTTAGTTAGAGGATATGCTATCATGGAGTTTGTCCTTAAGTGTTCTATGGAAATCTGTTCACTTTGTACTCTTTCCTTAACAATACAGCTGATTTATTGTCACAATATAACTTAAGTGGTCTTTCAGTGCCTTTCACAATTTGCAGCCCTGTGACAAAATTTATCAGCCATATTCC